CAGTGGCCAGAGCTGGGGGGGGCAGGGGGAGAAGGGCCACGGCAGGGAGCTGGCCCGCGTCGTCTGGCAGGAGAGCCTGGGAAGAAGGGGGAGCCCCGAGGAGGCATGGAACGAGGGAAGGTGGAAACAGGCCTCGCTGGTGGGGTGATGGTGGCATGCGGCGAGGGGCAGTGGGAGGCAGGCGGGTGCACCCCGGCTGAGGCCCCGGCAGCAGGGGACTAAGTGTGGGAACTGGGGCCTCAGCTTCCCCAGTGGGGACTTGCCCGGTCTGGGAGGCCCCGGGGGCGAGCCGGCTGTCAGGAGGCACCAGTGTCCACTGCGAGGACAGCCGGTCGGGGCCGCGTGGGTCAGCCCCCAGGGCTGTCTGTCTAACACCTTTGCAGAGGTGTTGTACAGGTGAGAACAAAGACTGGACTAGAATCAGCGCTGGGGCTCAGGGCGAAAGGGGGGTGGACGCCCGCAAGGGCAGGGAGCCTTGGGCCAGGAAGGGGCCGGTCTTCCAGTTATGGGGGTGGAGTGTGCGCACCAGCAGGGTCCCCGGTGAGGCCCGGCTGGACACAGGCGAGGATCCTGGACAGCTGACAGCGGGAAACCGGTCAGACGACCTTGACTCTCATGCGGCGCGGCAGGCAGTGACCACGGGCCGCTCGGGCCCTGTGCTGAGATGCCTGGGACCGCTGAGCGGGACAGACCTGGGCCCTGGCGCTTCCAGTTTTACATATTTTAGTGGCAAAAATGTAGCTGCACTAGAGGTGGCCTGACCGGAAAGACAGGTTGGGTAGCAGGGTCTGGCTGGACTTGGCTCGGGGCCCCAGCTGGGAGCCTGCCCGCCGCACCTCGAGGGGGCCCCTGAGTGCCAGAGGAGCACGTGACTTTGGGTGCCCGCTCACCTCAGCGTGCCGTGGCAAAGGGTCAGCCGGGCGGTCAGCCAGGCAGCGCCGGCCCTCACCGTTCCTGGAGCAGGATGCGCCACCGAGGAGGACGCCTCCGGCGGGGCTGCAGGAGGGAGTGGGCGGCTGAGGGGGGCGGGGGAGCCGGCGGAGACGGGGCTAACCCTCTCGCGGCCCAGGTCCCCGTGACGTTTGTCGACATCGCCGTCTACTTCTCCGAGGACGAGTGGAAGAACCTGGACGAGTGGCAGAAGGAGCTGTACAGCAACCTGGTGAAGGAGAACTACAAGACGCTCGTGTCGCTGGGTGAGCGCCGGCGCCCCGCAGGGGCTCGTCCCCGGCGGACCCCCAGGCCCGCGCGGCCCTCGGCCGGAACACAGCAGCTTCTGGGCGGTGGAAGTCACGGCACAGGCACGGGGCCCGGCCAGAGGACACGCCCCGCGCGGCCCCTGCGGCCCCACGGCTTCCGGGGACCCGCTGTCCCCACGCCGGAAGCTGGCCGGTCTTGAGCGGGGTTCGGGGCTCCTGGGGAGGCCGGCGGGGCGCAGCCGTCGTGCGGGCCCTCGGCGGGGTCACCTCGGCGGGGTCACTCAGCCTTGCTCTCCCTGCCCGCCTTCCAGATGGGGACGGCCCGGTGCCCAAGCCAGATGCCCCCGCCCAGGTGGAGCCCAGAGAGGAGCCGTGTGTGTGGGAGCAGCGTGAGCCCGAAGGGAGAGAGATCCTGATGGACCCAGACACAGGTGACGCAGCGTGCGGGGCGGGGAGGCTTCTCAGGCCTCTCCTGCACGCGTGTGTCTGGCCGCCGCCTGGCCTGCCCTCTGACGGGTCACGGGGTTGCCCTGGGGCCAGCCCTTCCCCTGCCCTGGTCCGCACCCCCCGAGGCGGGGGTGTTCCCGGAACTCGCTGTCAGCCCTGTCCCACCTCCCTTTGTCCTGAGTGTCAGCTCAGCGCCCGCCCAGGACCCCGTAATTGCCCACCGCCGCCTCCGGCTCCCGTGCTCCTCCCCGGCCAGTGCTGCTGGCCACGCTTGTGAGCCCCAGAGTGGCCGGGACCACCGCTCGGGACGAAGACACAGTGACGTGCTCTCTGCCCGCAGGAGCCGAGCCCCTGGTGCCTGCGCAGGAGACGCCCTCCCAGGTGAAGCGCGAGGACGCCCTGTGCGCCCGGGGCCAGCGGGGCCTGGAGGAGAGGGCCATCCCCACCGAGTCCATCAGCGGTGAGTGGGCCCGGACGGCGCCTGGAGGGGCCAGGTCCAGCACGTGCCGCCCGTCAGGTGGTCGGGCCGGGACTGGACGGGCTGGAGACGGGCCTCCCTGGACACAAACAGGCAGCGTCTGCGCCTGGCGTGGCCTGCCGCTCTCGTGAAGCAGCTTGTCGCTTCCTGCCTTTGAAAGCTGCATGGGGTAGAAGG